ATAACCAATATTATAAAAACTATTCTGCATATTCTTCATTGTTTAATTTTAACATACTGTATCATTCCTTGATTTAAATATACTGCACTTTTACCAATATAACATACAATTCTGTTACTTATTGATTTACTACAATATCTACAAGATACAAATAATGTATTGCAATAAAAACAATAAAAGTATTTTTCATTAGCAGCCTAGTCAAACATTTCCCATTTTATATCTGAAGTACTGCATATGGTTGTGCTACCTCCATGTAAGATGTCTAGATTAAATATCTCAGGTGGGTAGCTGCGTCAGCATGTGTAGGCTGCAAAGGAACAAGTAATAGGTTTATTCCATTCTAAAAAGAGAAGAAAGAAAACACAACGTTTCGGCCTTGGAGCCTTCTAAGAAGGCTTTTCATTTTCATCATGGAATAAACCTATTGTATTACTTGTTCCTTTAGATTAAATATCTGCCTCCCCTGGTCTTGTTTTTTTATTTCCTTTGTCTTTTCTATAGTTTTACCTAACTTCTGTTGGACCCATATTTTAATTAACATCCCTGGTAAACAACCAAAGATCTATCTGACAACGGTTTTCATCACCTGGCTGTACCTAATTATAAATCATACTGTTAGACTTTTCACTTGAGGGAGTTTAAGACATAGCCGGAATCTGAGACATCAGCTTCATGGTGTCCAATATGGGAAGCTTTAATAAAGAAAATTAAACAGAATATTTTATTTTCTGCTCCCAAAGGCAGGCCTGCCTCTTTTCAAATGAATTCAATTATTCAAAATAAACCGTGACAGCTCCCAGTACTTTCACATGCTTTCACCAATTTTCAATAACTCCTACTTAGTGTCATCTTCTTAGTTCTTTACCTGCCCATCCTGTCCAAAAAAGTAATGCTCTTACACTTGGTGACATCTTTAATGACAACAGCCCGCACACCTTTCAGGTTCTGAACGAGACTTACTCACTCCCTGAGTTTTCCTTTTTTATATACTGTATCTTAGAGTACACTCAGTCCTTCACATACAGTATATAGGGTGCAATGAGACACTACTTTACTCTCTCATTCAGTTTTTCATCTACTCATTTTAGCAGTCTCTACAGGAGGAATGCATTCCTCTCTCCATGACTTTCTTTCTTCTCAATGAAGACATAAGATATTTGAAATATCTTTTTATGGTCTAGAGAATGAGAAAAAGTGGATGGTAGTCCAATGTGGATAAAGTCTCAGACTTTATTCCTCTTCCCCTAAAACCTTAGCCCACCAGCTAATCCAAAATAAAACTGCACATATAACACACAAGTATTTTTGCAAGGTGTGCCTGCCACCTGTCTGTAGATGTTTTGAAGAACTATATTTTTCTTCCTACAGGGAATAACTTTTCATACATATCAAAACCTTTTATTTAACACAGTACAAGATAAAAGATAGCGACTCAGAACATTCAGTAACCCTTTATTTGCACTGTCTGGAACTGGCACAGAAGTTACTTCAATTCCATGCCATTAAACTAAAACACTCCATTTAAAGCTAAACATTTCAACAAGCCTCCTAAGGTTTTCTCTTTAATTATTCAAAAGAAGACTTTGTTCAATTTGATTTAAAGCTTGGTATTCAAGCTTTTATAATCGATTATTCCTCAACTCCAAAACTTTAGTTTTGCGGTGCTGGGCTTACTATGTAGTTGTAATAGATAATAGTAATAAATCTAAAAAACTGCTTGAGAGGCAATCTATTTGTTTGACAGTTCTTCTAGTTATGAAATTTATTCCACTGACAGTTATTGCAATGGAAAAAAAAACACAAAGAAAATAATGACTTGTCGAGATTGGCAATTTCTCTAATACAGCAGCAGTGTGGAACTCTGGCACCTCATAAAGTTTGCAACCCCCTAATATAGAGCAGACAGCATTTGGGATTGCTGAATCATTTAAAACACACAACCTCCTAATAAAGGTCTCTATTTCCTTTATCTTATTTTCTCAAATGTAATGCAATTGAATTGTGAATATTTTCAAATTGAAATGTCCTTAAGGCTTTTAAATGAATGCATCTAGCTTGTTGTTTTTTAATCAGTTGAAGATATTTAAACGTTTATAGTTACTGTCAGCTACTGCACAAGTGCCAGGTACTGCACTATATTACTTGGTGTTTAATACCAAATGCAGGAGCTTGTAAGTATTGCGTCACATAGGACTTATTTTAAAAATGTTGAAAAATGAACTATTTCTAGAGAAGTAGTAAATGTGTAAAGAACGACAATATGTCTTTTCTTTTCCTTTCATGGAATAAACCTTCACCTGTTCCTTTGCAGCCTATGCATGCTGATGCAGATACCTACTCGAACCTGATTACAATTTACTCAGAGTGAATGGGGTAGTGAAAGCAATAATAGGTTAATTATAATGATTTCTAGGTTTTTAGAAACATTTCCATGTGCTACAGAATGATCATAGAATTCAAATGCTAGTGTTCATAGACTACTGGCCAGCAGATTTAAAACATGGAATTGTAAAGTCAAAAGTACTGAGACTGCAATGATTTTGATCTGTAATTGCACAGTAGCTTGGCATTTTAGTCCTCTGTGTAAATTCTATACATTACAATTAACCTCATAGAAATTAAATATTTCAATCATGTACAAATCATTTATTAAGGAGACCTATACTGGGAAGCACTGGGCACAAGGTAGGATACACACTGGATGGGACGCCGATCCATGGCAAAGAGACACAAACACACCCGCACACACCAGGGCCAATTTACACAAGTCAATTAATCTACCAGTATGTTTATGGACTGTGGGAGGAAACAAGAACGTCTAGCGAAAACCCATGCCAAACATGGAGTGGACATACAAACTCCACCCAGGGAACCCCAGACCCATTATTCATCCCAGTGTCCGAGCACTGAGAGGCAGCAATGCTAACCACTGCACTACCGTTCTGCCCTGTGAATTTAACAGTTTGAATTAATCATTTAAAATTCCTATTTATAATACGAATTAATTTGTTTATAACATTCATATTTATAAAGGTACTTCTGAAAATGTTGCATTGTACTGTACATCTAATTGCAATTACTTTTCATACAGTACGCGCACATAACTGAGCTCGTATCAAAGCAATATGACACCTGTTTACATGCCTTCTGTTGGAACCATTCACATTGATTGCATGTCACAAAAAAATCAGAAAAAACGTTTTCTTTTCCTCACACCCCAAACTCCTATAGTTCCACCTGTATGGTTCTAAGTGCATCCTTTAAATCAAACTAAAGAGATACTTGTCAGTTTTAACAACCCTTCTTGCATTGAAATAACTCACCAGAGGACATCTTAACCTGACATTTATCAGAGAGCAGGGGCAAACAATGTACCTGCCATGTGAAAATCCTCAAACTGATACCAACAGATTGGGTGAGAATAAAGTGAGACCTTTCTCTTGCCCACGCAGGTACAGTACTTGTGAACCAGAGTTTGACTAAATAAATCTTGTATTGATTAATATAAAGTTCTCTAATTACACACTCACCATACCAACATACGAGGAGGTTGAACTAGCTTAAAAATCAGTCATGTGTCTACTCAAGTTTTCAAGTAGTTTTTTTTTTATTAGCAGTGTTTAAAAGCTCTAGTTTCACCATTGTTTTGAGGGTGTGAGATCACAGGAAGAAATCACAAGTAGGAACAGCAGAGGTGACACAACTCTAGAAAGGAGATATAACTGCATTTCTCACTAGAAAGTCACACAAAGAGAAGACAAAAAAAGGACGAACAAATATTTTGCAGTATGGAAAAGGTACAAAAGACATTAATCAGAGACAAGACATGTCACAAATGAAAAGATGCCATTAGCCCATTAAGTTTGTTTGATTGCTAGCAGCCAATTCATCCTACCCAACCACTTCTAGAAAGAAACCAGGCTATCACATTTGGCAAAAGGACTGGAAAGCTTCTTCCAAACCTATTAACCTTTGTGTAAAAAAACACCTCCTGTTTTAATTTTTAGACTGCAGTGTCGTGGGGTTGCTGGTGAAGACTGGTTGATGTTCGTCACCAAGATGGGCGAAATGGCTCCCATCCTAGATGTAAAGCACTATGGGATACCTCAGGATGAAAAGTACTGTATCTTTGCAATATATAATTATTACAAGCACAAGAGTGTAATTTTGCCAAAACTTACAGTCATCATATTACTTATGATATATTGTAATATATACAGTATATTATGTATAATTATAATTATATACCATTATTATTGCATCGTGATATATGTTAAATGATGTTTAGAATGATGTTCAGAAGCTTTTCCACAAATATTCCAGCTCAGAAGTTTTATTGATGTTAAATCTTATTTACTATATTATGGTATTACATTATATACCATTATATATTATGGTATTACAAGTCTTATTGTAGGGGAACCCAAGACATTTAAATAAATACTCTGAATTTAGTATATTGCAGTGACCAATTTAGTGCTTATAATGAAAATTTCCATCTGATAAAAGCATACGCATTTAGCATATGCTTCGCAAAGCTTATTTCAGTTTTACATGTAAATTTTACATGTAAACAGGTAAACTAAATTAAACTGTCAAAGACTCCAATTAACAATGTGTGCACTCATACTGTACATAAAACACAATTACAAAATACCCAAAATATACTGTATGAGTAATATCATGAATAAATAAATGGCATAAGTATGTAACAATCTTCATCGTATCTAAATTAAAAAACGCTTGGGCAAACATTTTAGCAAACTAAAACTTGCTATCTCCATGTACTTATCACTTTCTTGTACAGTCTGGACTCATTTCAAAATAAATTTTGGGGTCCTGAAATTAATCATGGATCAGCACCTTGTGCTGAGGCTAATTTTGACATCCCAGGCCTGAAGCTGTAAATACCTGAAAATGGCTTGTGGAGTAAGGGTAAATAAGTCAGAAATAAAGGGAACCAGTCTGTGGTAACTTTTGTAAAATGAAGGACTGACCTGCTCTTCAGGTGCTGAATACTTCCAAGGCACTTAAATTGGCCATTCACCATGATTGCCATTCTTGTGCATAATGCTTCACATTCCTCCATGCTGCAAAAGAAGTAAAACAAAAACAGTGAACTGATTACAATCCATAAAAATAAAAGCAAGAAGCCACTCAATGGGTTTTTTATTATTCCCCCCCTTGCATTGACATTCTGACTGAGTGCTGATTGTATTAAGTCAGATGCTGTATTACAGGTGCCAGTGCCTCAAGATATTTAGGTCAAGCAGTGCCATGCTAACGCTGTATTCCACCCTAATTACTGTCACGGCAGCTCAGCAGAAAGAAGCTTCACAAGTGAGGGATATGGTGTGAAATTGAATCAACTCACCTGTGTGACAGGAAATCAGTGAACACTAAAGCTAAAAATATGAGATTTCTTCATCACACTAAGAAAGATTACAACACAAGCCAACACACATGGGAGATGAGAAGAGTAAGAAAAGTGAAACACACTGCACAAAATATTTGTGGAACAGCTAAAGAAGACTCAAATAATGGATAGAAATAACATCTCGCCTAAAGGAAGCACACAATATCACTTCAGGCTTGAGGGATATAAAAAACTAATTTAGCACCATCTGTCTCATGTTCTAATTTATAATGAAATTTAAGAGCCAGAGCAGTAGAACCTTCATCCATTTTATATTACCTCGGATTTAAAAATATTCATGAGTCAATACATTTGGTAAAGATATCAAGTGAATACTTGATCTCTTTTGAGTAGCAAAAAATGGAAAACATTGCAGTATTGCCAATATTGGGACATTCCACATAATAGTGAATCACAAGGAAGGAGTGATTCCAGGTTTGAATTATAGTAAGTAGAGATACCGTATAACAAAACAAAAATGTAAAGCTGAAAACATAGAATAAGTCATAATAGGATTTTTTGACTGCCTACATACTGCAATTATTACAAAAATGCAGCAGTGCTGTGTTGGAGAATATAGACATGAAGTGATCTCAGTACTTCTTATAATCTTATACAACACAGGCTCACAGTCAGTGTTAGCAAGTCTTGTATTCCATAATTCAATTATAAGATTTAAGTAAGTTAGATTGGTTGGAAATATTAATTATTAACAACAAATATTAATAGGAATCTTAAGTAAAATATGAAAAAGGAATTGCATAATTTCTGCCAGAGGTGATAAATATTTTACACTTATATTTCATTTGCCCTTGAAAATAGTTTTAATTTCAATCCATGAGATAACTGGATGGATACGTTTTATCAGTTGTTATATAAAGCAGGTGTCCATGGCTGCTAAGAAGAATTCAGAAATGAAAAGTGGAATTAGAAATCTGCACTGTTTCGTCATCCAAATTTGAGAAACAGAGAGAGAGAGAGAGAGAGATAAGTAATATTAATTTCCTTAATTATCGAGATAGTTATATATATATATGTTAAGCTGCAAGTCTCTAGAAGGTAGTGCAACACCAATATCCTACTACTTTGAGAAGAGGTAAAGTAAAAGTGATCAGAATGATATAAACAGAAAGGTTTTGTTGAATGTCTTTAAGGATTATTGTGAGGTGATAAACAGCATCTAATGTATTTAAATGCTCAAATATATTGATACAGTACAAGTTTAGCAGAATAAAATTGTAACATGGTGTCACAAATGAATGGAGAGGAGATGTTTTTAATGTGAAAAAAGAAGCACAGTTTTATGAAAAGAGATTCTAACAGAAACTGCAGAGCCATGCTCTTAAGAAGACCTAGATAAGATTTGTGGATCAATTTATTAGGGCACAAATAATGTTTGTTCTGTGTTTATATCTTTTGCTAATTTCTATTTCAAAACAAACCCTGAAACTGAACCAAACAACAGAAAAAAATATTTAGATTTTAAACAAACTTCCTTATTTATCCTTTATTACCTAAACTTTGGTAACTTTGTTACCTCTTTTCAAATCATTACATTTCTAAAATATACTGCTGTTGCTGTACATCACAGAGCCTTTCCTTGTTGAACTCATTGTTTTCTAAAGAATAATGAAATATTAAATGTTTTTTCCCCTTTTTTCATGTATTGCTGGTTTGCTATATACAGTAAGTGAAGACTGACCTATGTGAAGTCAAGATGACAGATCGTCCCTCTTTGATCACACTCAGAATACAATCCCACAGGAAGCGACGAGCTTTGGGGTCCATTCCGGTTGTTGGTTCATCCTGAAACACACACCGCATTTAAATCCTTGCAGAGCTCAACAGTAGTGTTCAAGTAGTGTTCATGCATCTAAGTGAAAACTTCAACATAACCTTACTTTATATTTGAGAAAACAAGCCCTCAGCTCCAAAAACAAGCCCTCTGCTTCAGTATTGTCAATTATTTTTCCTCATCCTTATATTCTTGTATAGCTTCTGACTTGCTAATGATGTTCTGGCACAAGTACTGTTAGTACAGTATGTAGCAGATACAGTACAATTAGTATACATTCTGAGTATAAATTTAATTTAAACTTTATTTCAGTTCTATTCATTCCCACATTAACCTCAGAAAGTAAGACATGGATAATAACAATATACTTCACACCACTACAAATAAAAGAAAAAAAGAAAACACAAAGTGCATACAGTGCATTAAGACAATATACTGTACAAACAAACAGTAGGCAATATACAAGTAAACAAGTAAGCATTTCAAATGTAAGCAATGCAGACACGTAAACCATGACTGCAGACGTGCAATAAATTAAATTACAGTGAGGTAGATGGTGTAGGTGTGGTCCGAGGGGCATGGCCAAGTGTGTTCGCCAACCACACCACTTGTGGGTAGAAGCTATGGAGGAGTCTGGTCAAGGTCCTTGGATCACATAGCTACTAGGTATGGGCAACCAAATGAGATGGATGGGCAGAGTGGCCTCATCCCATTTGCAAACGTTTTTTATGCTCTTAGAAAATGAATAATAGCCAGATATGTTGAAATGTGCCATACATCAGTTTGTTTTTAAGTAACTGGATCCAGTCTTACCAAAAAGATTACTGGAGGGCACCCAATTAGGGCCATGGCAGTGGAGAGCTTGCGCTTGTTGCCTCCACTGTAGGTACCTGCTGACTTGTTGGAATATTTGACGAGCCCCAGCTTCTTGATTCCCCACTCAGCCACCTGCAGAGGTAAACCCACAGCTTATACTGACACACAGCTCCCTAATTTAGTTCACTTTGTTATTCTGTGACATCACAACATACTGTATGTGTTTTCTGATTATCGAATGACATATTTTAATTTTGATGCACATACAGTATTTATTATGAAAGATCTTGTGTGAAATTTCGATTTCCAAACTTCATATGTTTTATAGGACTGTGACATCTGACTACAAACCATGGATTAAAAAGGTCTTCTTTTAAAAGCTGAGAAAGATGAAATAGCTGCTGTTAAATCACAGGATTTGTGCAAAAGAGACAAGGAAGCCTTTGCTCTTGATCACAGTCTTCCCAAAGGGAGATAAAATAAGAGGGCATAGGGCTCCAGGGTGCAGCAGGGAATATAAACAGGCTTATTAAATGCCCAATGATCTCATTAATACCTTATTATTATGAGGTTTAATTAAATTTAAAAACTGTAGCACACTTTATGTACTTTTGGTCATCTTTACAATTTTTCCATTACAGAACATTTCTGCTGGTTCAGATTTTGCTTTTCATGCTTGTACTGTATACAGAGCCAAGTTATGAAACAGAGAGAAAACAAAGTTTTCCTAATGTCTTACAGTAATTCCATTGTTGATATACAGTATTTTACAGTATGAGCTGTGTATACTTTTTGGGTTTTGCTTATATGGTAATTATTTACCATTGTTATTATTACCTTTCCAGAAGGGGGAATGAGGATAGCTGTTGCATTGGAAGTGTAAGTTACAAATTACTTTGTCATTTATAAGGGACATCTGTAAACTATATGCATGTTTATAATATGAAAAGAAAATATCCAGACAGTTCATGTCAAATACCGTCTGGCAGCATGGCTATTACCAGATGATGCGAAATGCAGTAAGTAATTGCCATCTTGTTCATTTGGAGGACACTGGTTTCCCTGTCAAAATGATATTTATCATGAAAGGTGTGTTTCAGAGGAGAGCAGGGACTGAATTCCTCAAAGAGGATGAGAAGGATGTAAAAAAATAACTTTGGAATGGATGGTTCTGTCAAGTGCATAAGTCAGGGAACAGGTGTAAAGAGGGACAAGACAGCCCTGACAGTGCTTCAAATGTCTGTGCAGCTGTGAAAATGTAACTATCAAGGAAGTTGACAGGCTCAGAATGCACTCTATTGAGAAGATCATCAATGAACAGCTACAAAACAAGAAAATGTGTGCTTGTTGGATCCCACATGTGCTAATCAATCAACGCAAATGTGGCACATTTGACACCTGCAATGAATTAGTAAAACATTATGATGTGGAGGGAATGCATTCCTTCACTGAACAGTCAGTGATTACAAATCCCAAAACCCATCACTAGTGTATGCAGTGTTCTCACTCATTCTTCTTGATGTCAAATCCCCTTAGCATTAAAACGTAGAAAAGCATAATGTTAAACCCATCTCTTTTGGGTCTGACACGTTATAGTTCTAAATAAATACCTGCTGCTCTAGTATGGTAGGTACAGGGACCAGACAAATACTCAAAAGATCTATCAGAAGCAGAAGCACTTACAAAACGAAAATATCCCGTTTGTTCATCACTTACAATTACCTTCTATGCTGGAATTGGCACCATGCAACTATAATTGCTTGCAACTTAACATTTCTAGCTAAACTAGAAACTAGGTAAACTAAAAAGAAAATGTGTACAGACTTAAAACACATATTTGTATTCAAGTTGGAATGAAAATAAATAACCAATATACTGTAAATTTTATCCCAGATCATTCTTACATCATTAAACATCTCCACATTTTTGTACAGATACATAAGCAGCTGCTCAATGTGGCTTCTTAACCATTCATTAATAATTGAGCAATGATCCCTTACAGGTAGGAATTTGAACGTTAGTAATAAAGGGAGAGAAGGTTCAGCATCTTTTCCTAAATAGTATGAAAACTCATCTTACCATCTTGACTTCCTTCTCTGGAACACCACGGAGGCGTGCATAAAATTCCAAGTGCTCACGTCCACTCAGAAGATCATCTATAGCATCAAACTGGGGACAGTATCCCATATTCTGATGAACTTCTCTCATCTGTTTTAATATGCTTTGAGAAGACAAACACATGTTACATTCTAGGGAGACTTTAAGGGATGTGTGTAATTGCTGTACTGCATGTTGTGTTCCGTACAAGACAATAATACTGTTCTTACAAGTGATTGTTGTCCCATGACTATGAACATGGGAGTTTTGGGACGGGGAAGGAGCCTTTTGAGAATCAGGTTTGTGTCAGGCAGAGGATGCCACAAAATGCAATGTAAACTTAATTTGTACTTCATATGCACATGCGTTCATTCTGTGATGTCCTTGGAAGTACAGTAAGTACAGTAGGTACAAATCTCTATAATTCTACATCTATGCCACCATCCATACTGTAGCAATCTGCAAAACCTCAGCTTTAGATTTTAAGTACAGTATATACCTGCAAATCCATCATTAGCTTATTTTACAGTATTCATCACATAATGGACTAAATTTGATAAATGTATTATTCACTGCAAATTAATACTACTCTATCAATGACACTTCAAAAATAATTCATTCAAGACCTGTAATATACAGTGCCTTTACAAGCATTCTTCTTACAGTGTCAATTTTTGTGAGATTGCTCTTACATTTTATAAACTTACTATTTTATTCAAAACCTGAATATTATTCTTGAACTGAAGACTTCAAAGGATATGTTACAGACAATTTCAACACAAGTAAAACAGAAAAAATAAAATATGTTGATGGCTAAGTATTTAGACCTATCAGCTCAATATGTGGTGGAATATTCTTTGAATTAAATTACAGCTGCAAGTCTTTTTGGGTAAGTCTCTACCCACTCTCTTTCAAATTGCTTAGGGAAAATTTCTTATGGACAGCATACTGTATTTTTTCATGGATTCTCAATAGGATACCCCTGCTTATTCTTAAGCCACTGCAGTTTAGCTTTGGCCTTGTGGTTTACATAATTGGTTTATTGAAAGGTGAATTGTTATCCCAGTTTCAGGTCTGAAGTCGATTTTCCTGCAAGATTTTTCAGTACTCTGTTCCATTTATGTTTATATCAGTCTTGAAGAACTTCCAATTAGCTGATGATGTGAAGAAGAATCACATAATGCTTCACAGTAGATGATGGTAGGGATGGTGTTGACTAACTGTGTGACTGATGTATAGCTTAATATTTAGACCAAAAAGGTCCAAATAATGACTTGACTGCAAAATGTTTTGCCAGATGTTTGCAGTATCACTTACTGTAAGTGCTTTGTTTCAAATCCCATGTAGATTTGAGATGTTGTTTTGTATCCAAACAAACCCTTTTTTGGAGTGAACAGGTTATCGACCTAATTGACTTCACTGGGCATTTTCTAATTTTTCAGCCATTGAAGTCACCACTGCCTCACAATGGTATCCCTAACCGATTTCCTCCTTGTCCTGCAGCTCAGCTTGGAGGGACAGCATCCATTTATTCATGATCAATTTCACTATGCTCCAAGAAATATTAAGGATCTTTGAAATGCTTTTAGATCCCTGTGTTGTTTTGGAGGCTCCTCGGTCTTCATGGTCATATCTTTGCTTAAAATTCCCTACCTGATCTTAAAGAGATAGGTATATTTATTCTGAAAACATGTAAACTCCTATTACTGCACCCAGACAGAAACTACACATCTAATAGTGTGGCTAATTAAGATAATTGCTTGCGCCTGAATTAATTTAGGTTTGCAACTGAAAAGGATATGAATACTTATGTAATCATCTTTCATGTTAATTATTTGAAATTGTGGAGTAGGCTGTGTACTGTACTGTATATAAGAAATATTAATTGCTGCTTTGAAGTGTCATGGCTTTTGCAAGACACTGTATGTTCTGTACAGTATATAAAGAGGTGAGAGTGGGGAGGTTCATAAATAACATCCTTCATTTTATATACAGTATAAAGAGGTTAGAGCAGAGAACTCAGTGTGTGAGCTATAAAGGATCAAGCAGAGGTTAATTCCACGCTGAAAAGCACAAAGAAAGAAGTAAAAACACAAAACTTTTAGCTGTGGAAAAAGCATTGAAATATTGTATTTTAACTTTAAAGCAAGCTATTAACCTCTACTTGTTGCTATTATATATACAGGGATTACCAGGTAGTCAAAGAGAGAGCTTCCATCTGTGTTTTACCTTGCTCAAAAGAATAGCAATGGAAAGTAACTCTGAGACAATACAGCAAGTCAGACCATACTATGGTTCAAAAGGTTTAATTTAATGTTTTCTCAAGGCTGTTTCCTTTGCAATAAACATAAGCTAAAGTCTTTTTTGAAAGTTAAACATCTAGAAAATTCTTTGATAAACTATGAGTATTGCCTAGAAGCCATAGAAAATTACAAAACCTCACATTATAAAACTCTGTTGTAACCACTAGCCACTAAACAAAAACCTTCAAATGCTGATCCATCGCAAAGAACTTCAAGCACAGCAATTAATCATAACCTCTGCAGTGCCTCCCACTAAGCAAACACATGAAAAGACAATCTCAGCTTGAAAGAAAAAATACCTTTGCTATTCATTGTTCGTTTTCATCCACTAGTCCTATTTGAACGTGCAGACAATATGAATGATGAGCTAAAGGTGTTTTTTTTTATTGCTGACAATTCTCCCTTTAGAGTTAGAAACAATTGTTGTGAATTTTAAACACTTTAAAAATTAAATTGCTTAAAATGTATAGCTTTCATGCAATGCATATTTTGTTTAAACTTAACAGAAAGGTAATTTATGCACTCTTAAAAGAATGACAGCAAAAATAAATAATGCAAAACCTTTTTTTGGGGGATTTGGTTATAAACCAAAATGTAAACCTAAATCACAATGAAGAGGCTTATGAAGGACAAGCAATAAGCTTATAACTGAAAATTGTTCTTTTTATGTAGTCAATTATACAGTTCAGTTCTTGGCAATATAACTAAATGGAATGACATTTCCATCATGTTAAAAATAACTTACATCTGGTAAAAATACATTCACAATGTGAGTTATTAATGTCTCAACCCAAAGGAACAACAAAAACAACAGAAGAAAGACAGTTGCACAGCCTTCCATATACAGTAAGTGAAATGTTAGTGTGGGAGCCTACAGTATGTGTTTGTGCAGAGCACTCTCAATGATGAAGATAAATCTCAGGCTGTTAATTATGATGAGTGGGCTTGTGTAGAGACAGCCGGTGTTCTTCACCTGTATCCATTTAGAAACGCCTCCCCACTGGAGACTGAAATGTCCCCTGTCAACATCTTGAAGGTTGTTGTTTTTCCTGCTCCGTTTACTCCCAGTAGGCCAAAACACTGTTGAAAATAACAGTCAAAATGTTGATGCCTCCAAGCAAACTTAACTCTTAGTCATAACAATCTTGCTTACACATCTTTCTGAAATCTATTAGTACTACCTTTATTTATACAGAGCATCAGAAGAATCATCAAGTAGATGTGTGTCGATATAAGGATATTGATTATATGTGTTTGGTGTCAATTATATTAATTAAACATTTACAGTATGAATGTGATACACTTGCTTGACTTTAACTGTGGCATAACCACTAAATCATTTTTTTAGGAAGAAAGTTGATTGGACACAGATGAAGCGGTTATTAACCTCGGTGAAAACCAAGAAAGAAGAACACAGACAGTAACCAAAGAGCACAGCTTATCAAAGGTATTGAGGTAGTCACAGCCAACAATTTCTAACCTGGTAAAACATTAATGGTATGTGAATGCTAAACTCCAATTTGGAAGATTGTCACGGCATCTTAACTGGATTAATACGAAGGTCCAAATGTGGTGATCTTGACAGTAGTGTCTAATCACTACAGATCTGCACTTGTAGCTATTGATGGCACAATCAATCACCTAGTGATTGACGACAATATGGCGCTACATTCATCGAATCTTTCTTGTGAGATGAGAATGTGAAAGTCACACTATGGATGCCTTACTCATTGTACTTGAGCTTCACTGAACATGCATGGGATGAGATGGGATGATTTGTAGCATCTAGGGCTCAGAGACCAGTGAGAAATGCTTTTTCAGAGGAATGGGACAGGGTCACACATGGTAGAATCTGCAAACTGGCGCAAAGCATGAATTGAAAATCTAGTTTGTATTGTTTTGCATTAGTGGTCAGTCACTATACTATATTGTGACTTTCACAGACCCGTAAAGAATTTACCTGTATTGCGTCAGAAAAATAACGTTTCACTGCACTTTCTCCAAAAAATATATTTTCATAATAACAACTTTGTAAGTTGTTTGTGACAAGGTTCTTTTGAAGCTCAGTATGTACAGTAATTTAGGTACAGTAGCAAGTAACATTTCTTGCCATTGACATTCTCAAATTAATGATTAATTTAAAAATATCAAAATAGATGGTCTAGAGATTTCAGACAGAAAGGTGAGTTGCCCAGGTCATTCAAATCCAACCAACACTTCATGACAATTTGTTTCAAAACTCAGAAATACTGGACAGAATACAAATACTGTATAAAAAAGCTATGTATCTCCAATTAAAAAATGAAAGTGATTGCAATGTTAAAATCCTTTTGTTCTATGAAAATTGCACCAAGAATTCTGGTACCTAAACCTTTGCAATCTTATCTAATCTTAGATTTACTGTAAGGTTATTTTAATTAGAATAACAACTATGGCAGAATAATAAGTCAAGTTTACTTCTTATTATTGATTCTACTGAGTCATAGCATTTTCGAATTATAATATGAATTAAATTATAATAACACTCTTAGGCTTAGGTTTGTTTTTATGGGCTTCAATCATAAAAGCCTTATGAAATTAAGTGCACACTATGCAAATATAAGCCTATGCATAAGCTGCATCTCATGCTTTAAGAACATTTTGTGAATGAGGTATATAAAGATGTACAGATTCCTCTGCATTTTCATTTTTAATTCATTTTCATTCTTCCTGTAACTGAGTGAAGAAAACAAGAACTCAAAATGTTCCTATGAAAACTAGATTGTTATTTTAACGTCTTTATTAAAGGTGACATAATATATGTTCGAAAGAATCAATGAGTTGTAAAAACAAGGTTGTTCCACATGGTAGTGATGCCAATTAAACTAGTGGATAATATATAGGAAGTGACTACAACTAGAAAGTGAATTCTCCTGATAATAGTGGGAGCTAAAAAATGCATGTTGACAATTCAATGTGCTGTTCAAAAACAGAAGTTCACTAATTAAAGAACAGCACTGACTGCTTGACAACATGGACACCCTTTTGATCCAACCTTTTTTTTCCATGTGTTGGCAGATGTTCATGAATTTAAAATTTCAAATCCAGGAGACAAGAATTCGAGTCGATATCCACTATTATAAACACAGTATGCAAAGATTTGTCTGCATATCAGCTATTCCAGAGAGCTCTATGAACAAGCAATGGGCAGAGTCAAGTGCATGCAGAGTTTGTGCCACTTGAGGGTTTTCTAGCTAAAGTATCATTTAGCTACCAATTGTTTGTAATTAACTAGGTATGCTGGTATTCTTTTAGTTTCTCAGATAAAAAGCAAACATACAGTTATTTCAGTTCTCACAGTTTTTTGACCAGCTTGTATTACACAGACAGTATGATGGAAGGCCCACGCTGAGACTTCGAAGTAGTAATGAAATCACATTTGGACCACCTTTTAATGAAATCCATGAGCGTATTCCAATAGCATCCCCTATAGCATTGACTTTAATTCTGGAGGTGTAGTTCGCCGTGTCCCTGAGGGATATTACCTGTGAAATAAGTGGGATTGCAGAGGAGTGTGTATTAATTAAAAAAACAAACTCCAGGAGAGAAAAGGGGCCGTGTCTAGTTTACAGTAGAGATTTCACCCACTCTTGAAAGTGTTTTATGTACTGAACTAACGTAGTTATTCAAAGTGTGCAGTTTACCGCTGGGCCTGCATTTCAGGACTAATTTTGTTAGTTTCCTTCTTAATACACTTCTAAGTAGAAATACAGCACAAATTAAACCAACATGCAGAGCGATGTTTGGTGCTACAGCATAGTGAATTCAGGGGTGGGCAAAAATGGGAGTCCACATAAATATCTTCCTTTCTTCTGGAATTTTTTCTTTAAAAAACAGTACATGTATCTACTTTAAATTATGAAAATGGATATACTCCTACAGCTCCTATTACAATTTTATTACTACACAAAAGACATATGATGGCTGTACTAACGAGAATAAGATCGTTGGCATGAGCATTATTATTTAATGCTCTTATTTCCATTTTGAACGATGTTCAGTTACGGTCTATTGCTGACTGGTCCTAGGTGCTGCAGTTTCCTCCCACAGTCCAAAGACATGTTTCCTAGGTTAATTGGTAGCTCTACATCGTGCAATGTGTGCCTGTAATGGGCTGGCTTTCCGCCCAAGCTGTATCTCCAACTCAGTGGTTTTTTTAAAATGGATGGATGTAAAAATCTACAAAATCTACAACTTCCATTCCATCTTTATGTAAAAAGCAAACAATGCTATACAAGGCAGGTAATTCTTCATTTGTTTTCATTAATTTGTTCTTTTACAGTGGCCTCCTTCCAGCAAGTGGCAACTTCAAATATTTGGAATAACAATTAAAATTTAAATATTTGTGATAAGGCAGTGAATAAACAATTTATTAAACAGAAAGCAATCACTGTAATGAATCACATTATTCCTCTGACACAAATATTAAAGCCAGTGTAAAAAGAAAGAAATGCATTCCCAATATTGATGTCTTCTACAGAGATGCATAAATCAGATCTACTTGTTGAAAACAACAACATTCTGTTCGGTATTTTTATCCTAATGCATATGTGGCTTTTATACTGCACTCATTTCAGCTAAATTGTCTTTTTCTTCTCTAATATAATGTGGGTATGCTAATTTGTGGGGGGGTCACACTCTCCTGGGTCTTCCCTTTGTTGTTGGGAAGTAATGAAAGCTTGGCAGTTGCAGCTAGGGTTGAGAGCTGTAAGCTGACCCCCACTTTGCTCACCTCAGCAGCAGGGACACCCACACAGATTCTGTTGACAGCAGGCTTCTTTCTGTGCTGGTACACCTGGAAAAAAAGCACATGCATTAATCAAAAAGGGCATGCAACAGAACTGTGGAGGTAATTAGATAAATAAATTATCTGGGGTTTTGGTTTAATATGCTGCATGCTGTGCACTCTTTTTGTCCCTTGGGACAGCAGGAATGGCGGGAGGTGCCCCCCCCCCCCGAATGTCAACGAGCACCTGTTTTAATAGCCGCTTGATTGCTGGTGCTAGCTGCTCAGCCTGCCTGCTGCCTTAAATTGCAAGATTACTTCTGAGAGCTTGACAGGAGTATTTGGGGGTTTTCCTGGCTTCTGTAGAAAGTGAGAACCCCCCATCCTTCATTGAATTTGCATCTATAGTCCAGTTAACAGTGTTAGGGGGATGACAGGGCTTTTTGGACAGGGCTTAGTCTACAAAAACAATTAATCCCTTCAAAAATACGGTTTGGAGGTGAAGAGGCCACAGCATAACCTAGATATGCAGGACCAGTTTACAATATCTGTGGTGGCTCTTTATTGGAATTAGTCCAACATAACATGCCTTGGCATCATCTACGATATGAGTTGTAACAAAATCAGCCTCTGAAAAAATATTGATATGGAGTTACAGAGGGACTGAACTGAAACAACACAAATAAAACATACTGTAGGGAACACACACCTAGTGGCAGACTTCCTACACCATGGGCTGGAAGCACTGGAGTCTACAGGACTAGAGAGAAACCCCAACTGGACAGAGGTAGATAGGAAAAGGAACGGGATTGGATTAAAAGACTTAACACTGCCTTTCCAGAAGGTCTGAAGAAATGAAAATAAACAATGAGGGCCACAATCAGTGATGGGGAGGACAAACCTGCCCCAAAAGGTAACATTTTGAGGAAACTTTAGGAGAAAGAGCTTTCTTTTCTCCAGTCCTAACCTTAACCCTAACCCAACACCAACACTAATCCTAATATCTAGCCCTAGCCCTAACCTTAACCTCTAACAAGTCTCAAGACTCATAAGAGGGCTCATAAAAGAGTCAAGCCAGGACTCAAGACAATATTTGATATACGGTGTAAGACAAAACTCAAGACAAGACACATAAGAAGACTCACTACAAGACTCATAACAAGCCTGAAGACAAGGTCTACTGATTCTATATTGTAACAATATAAAATTAGGGGGTGAATATTTTTGATAGTGTATATCAAATTATGTCTCTCTGTGAAGCCCTTATTCAAAGTTTTTTAGAGGCTGATTTTGTTACAACTCAAATTATAGTTAATATCATATTATATTATGTTGGATAATTTAAATAAAGAATCAGCAGAGATCAGTATTTCTGTCTTCTGAAAACAATACCCTCCATGTTTGCTTGGCTTTCCATTTTACCATACTGTACATCACTGCAAGTCTTGACATTGTCATTTGAAACTCATACATCTTAAATCAATACTACATCAAAGATTTCCAGACCTTTAGAAAGTATACTGCAACTTGGCAACTATACATAAATTACTTTTCTCTTTTTAATGCAGGCTGTGATTCATTACGATTCTAAGACTATTAATTGTCTTTTAGCGAGATAATAATTTGACATCTGCAGCAGTTTGTGTCTGTCAATTGCTTGAATGTTGTCATTCATTTTTGCATGCTACTGTACATGGTGAAGAATTAAATACCTGTATTACGTATGAAAGCAGTTTCTTCTACGCAATTAGACAAAATGTTTCTGAAAACCTCAGAATACATTGAGCTACAGTCCTCAACAGTTCCATCATCCATTAAGTCATGTGAACTTCTGGAGGTGGTCATGCTTCAGGGACATGGATGTTATTTGGAGTATCTGTGTTTTCTTTCTCCAATTTAGTGAAGGATTATTGTGGTCTTTGTACCAAAACTCTTTCATCTTATCTTCTAAAGACAATTCTAACGCACAATGGAGCAAATGCCATGGCACGGAACATCTGAAACACATGGCAAAAACTCATTCATTCACAGATGTGCTCTCCTTTGTCCATACAGAAAGCCAATTAACCTGCAAGATGCACACTGCCTCGGCCTCACACTGCTATTTCTTTTAGATCACATAAATAGTCCTTTTAACTTAGCCCAGGATTCTCAAAAAACAGATTAAAGATTTACTTTACAGTGCTAAAATTAATTATAGACATGATAGGGTATTTTTAGACACAGTTTAAGATATGGAGTAAGTATCTTACTCCGTCTTACTACTTTCCACTTCCACTCTTACTACTAATAATATAATTAAAGGGCTTACTTCATTATTTATATGTTTGCTTACTTCCTTATCTATTGGGTGCCTTTGACCATTATAGTAGAACTAACCTTGGTCCTGGAGAATCCCAATCCAGCAAATTATACATTACTCTATTTCACCTGTTTCAAAGATTGTGAACATTTGTAAGTTAATGCTCAATTAAGCAAGTAATGCGCTTAATAAAGGGGACTCTGGTTATTGATGACTGACAATTTATGTACAAAATGATTTCTAAATTGCTCAGTTTGACAAATCACCTGCAATTGGTCATTATTAAATTGTTCCAAGTCTTTAGACATTGATAATTTAATGGTTAATGGTTAATGGTTACCTGCTAAAAAAATACTGTGCATTGGGGTTCTCTGAGATGAGGGTTAAAAATGTCTATGCTACATTATGGATGCAAAAACTAAAAAGTATTTTATTTTTGTTTTCTGTACTTTGTGTACAATATGAAAGGAAGCCAATGATGTCTCAAACTAAAGAGTCTCTTAATATATTTAAGGATCATACAGCACCACCGATGTACTCAATAATAGCATTTGCTGCTGGGAAAATGAACAATTACTATAATAACATAATTAATCAGTAAATATTTGTGATTACAATTTTTATCTTAACATATTTGGGATTATTTGGGGTTATTTAGTTTGTTTTAAGACTACTAAAAGCAACATGTACTTTGAATATGAAAGATTAGCATTAAATGTGACAGGTGTACCCAGGCACCAACTCATTGTTTTATACATGTACTGTACAGTATGTTCTGATTCTGTCTCTGCTGTCTGGGTTCTAGTTCCAATCTATCATCATGTCACAGCAATGACTGCAACTTTGTAACTACTCCTGCCAATTTCCAAATGATTAAATCTCAGCTACAATCCTGGCTTGTGCTTTATTGCTGGCCTGATAACTTATATTAAACCAGAATTTGACTGCTCTGTCCTCCCATGCTCAATGGGTCAGAGATATAATGTCCTCAAGGCCTCAAAACTCAGGTTTACTACAGAGGAAACTGGAACTGTTCATATATTGAAGGAACTATTGTCCCTTCTTCACTTTTCTAATAATGTCATACAATTAGCCTCTTTACAATAATATGGCATTTTTATTTAAATATTATCATTATGATTTAACTGTTATATTTCAGTTAGCCTTCTTACTGAATTACTGTACTGTATGTGTACATCTTCCTTGTATTTTTATCAGTATTAAAGATTCTTTTTGCTCTGGTTTCATTTGATTTTTAAGTTGGGAAGGGGATACAAGGAACTTTTAGGAGGAATAATATAGGGAGGGATGGAGAAAAAAGGGGGTGTAGGGGTGTAGGGTGTCAGGAAGAGGGCAATAGGGACAGAGAAATATGGAGAAATTAGAAAAGGAGGAGGACAAAGTGGTTGAAGATAAACCTAGAGTTTTTCTTTGATATCACTTTGAGCTGGAGTTTATATTATACAGCACAGTATTCATATACATTTATCATTTCGGCTATTGAAACTGAGGATCAATTATTGCACCAGAAGGAAAGGCATAAGACTTTTGTGACCTCGATTGCTCACTTGCAGGAAGAACAAGGGAACTCAAGAGAAACTTTATATTTTTCATGTACCATTGTCCCCTGCTGTGTAATCTTTTTTCTCCAGTGTGCCTTGATTTCTTCTCAAAGCCTTACAGAACGTGTGATCAGTAATGAACCCAGCTGAATTTAAAACCACTATTCCAACTGAGAGTCTGTCTGAAAATAGAAAGCAAATTTGCTTTATAATGCAAACACGTATGTATAAAATAGAAGCCAGATTTATACAGCACCTTCTGTGGTCAAATATAAAGACAGAACAGAACTGGCAGTACCAGGATCAGTAAGATGAACAAATGAAAACACTATCTAATGGAAGAAAAATAGTATAAATAGTAAAGTACTGGTATAACAATGTGAGCAAATAATCCTGCAAGCAAGGTAATCCAGTTAGACATGTAAAATTCTTTTTCATTTAGTTTTCTTTTTGATTGTGTAGGTACTTTTTATCCTATTTAATTAATAGATCAAAATCCCTGAACTTAGTAACTGAGTAATAAACCCATAAGGTTTCATTGAAAACCTACTGTATGTACTGTATGATTTCAGTTCTATTCTAATTTGTAAATTCTTAGCTATTCATGCAGTCATTCATCCTTTATTGCAAAAAAAAAAAACAACTAAGTATATTACGAATCATTTTGCTTGTGTTTTGGTGTTTTGGTGAGCGATGTTGAACTTGCACTGATCTAATGACTGAAGATTCTACTTTAAGGATAGAAATTGAAATGAATGGGTATGTTTTTTTTCTTTTGTACTGTAGATGAAAATGTTTATCAACACTGTGTTGGAGCATATAATAAATGCACACACATCTAACACTCAGCTGTTTTGTATTTACACCCAGACATTATAAATGATGTATTCAGAAGAGCTAATGGTGCACATCAAGACTGGTTATCTCTGGTGCGCAAGGAAGTTGTTTTCCTTTTACTATATGACTGCATTTTATACATTAGCATGTTTTACAAATAAATTCTCTCTTATCTATTGCCATCCTTTGCTGTAGTAGTAGTAATGTTCTCTCATCTAGCATGATAAAACACACTTGCATACAGTACAAGTTTTTTAACTTTAGAAGCGGAACATTATACTTAGATAACATATTTATTATTAGACTAACAAAAACGTTGCATCACATTTAAACCAACAGATCTTGATGTTTCTGTTTTTATGGATCAT